GCAAGGCCCTGACCAGGCTCAGGCTCCACAGCGGCTGGTGCATCTGCAGGGCCGGCTGGTGCATCTGCAGGGCCCTGACCAGGCTCAGGCTCCACAGCGGCTGATGCAATTGCAAGGACCTGACAAGGCTCAGGCTCCATAGCGGCTGGTGCATCTGCAGGGCTCTGATCAGGGTCCACAACGGCTGGTTCATTTGATGCCGCTTGGTCAGGGTTCAGCTCGCGTGACATGACCTGGAGTGCAGCCTTGGACCAAGCCTCCGTCTCCTACACAAGGATACAAGTAAAGGAGAACAACACTTGCCGTTAACACCTTACTTCACTTCACCTGTTTGTCCAGTACACAGTACACACACTCACACTATTCCGATCCACAGTGAGTTATTTGTTGCCAGTCGCCAGTTGCTGTCAATGCTAATGAGGTGTATCGGTGTAAATTGAATTAATATTAGTATTATTGATTCTGAGTCTCTGAGTCTGAGTTTTCTTTGTCTCCGTCTAGAGTCTAATTCTTCGACCAACAAGTATCATTATAAAAATCCAAAGTGAAAAGGTCTGAGAAGGTCACAAGGAGGTCCTGTCCTGGTTTGCCTTTTCAAGCTCTTGCAGAAGATCATCGTCAAACTCATCTTCCTCAACATGCTCAGGCACTGCAGGTGGAGCTCCATCGCCAACGAAAGGGTGGACTTTAGGTAGGACTTGCAACACGTACTCCATCACTGGCTTTGAAACCACCTGTCCATGGAGTGGAGTTCGGTTGCTGGTCTGTTTAACAGTTTAACATTCACTTTGTGGCCTACAAGTCTGCAAGACTGTATACATGACTAAATCGAACCGCCTCGGCTGGGCCGAACTGAACCGAACTCCGAACCGCCTAACTAACAAAAGAACTGCACCAACCGTTCACCTACCCTAGCCTGCTCGCACACAAACTTCTTGAATGTAGTGATGCTACTCTCAGGGAACGTTGAAGAATTGATCCTGCGGCGGTCTGTCTGGCTGCCAGGCTAGACTGGCTCTCAATTTCTATTCTACTAGTTCATCTTTCAAACTCTGATGTAGAACATGGTTGTTGAGGATTGCTGGATGGCCACAGCATTCAGCACACTCCTGAGTCCACACGCGTCACCATTGATTGCCTTGGTGAGCACAAGGCTTCCCATCGGCAGGGCCAAGATGTCTCCAACCTTGCAATACCCGGCTGACAGCGAAGGAAGCGACAGGCAATCAGGGATGCCTGATACATCCATGTTCAACAAGGCGTCCCGCAAGACTTGAATCGAGTTGTTCCCAACATACCCGGACATCTCAGCAATGTCACAGGCCACAACCAGAAGTCCACCATGGGCCTTGGCTTGGTGATTTGTAATTTATGATTCGAGATTACAGATTCCATTCCCATTCCCAAAAAATAAAGTGTCCTACAGTTCTACAGTAACAGTTCCTCAGTAACACGAATACCAACAGTGACAGTGACACTGGCCTTCGGTGGATATTTGTTCGTTGTCAGTCAGTGGGTTGGATTTGGATTAGTTGGATAACTGCAATAATACTAGATACATTGCAATTGCAGCGCAGTAGAACTGAAGCAAACTCACAGTCACAAAGAAATTGAAAGCAACAGGGAAGCTGCTGCCCAGCCCTGCTACAACAAGCCAGCAAGCAACAATGGCCACACGACATGCGGCCAAGCGACAAGAAGCCGCACATTGCCAACGCCAGAGCATTCTATCCCGCAGTACACAGAGGAATCCTTTGCCCCAAAGAACCACAGACCATTGAAGTCTACTTGACCTTGCTTGTTCACAGCCATGTTGTCATCAAGTGCCGCTTTCGTCTCAAGTTCCTCGTAGTCCCAGCTGCACTCTTTCCAACTGTCAGGAAGGTGGTTAACAATCTTGTCACGGACATTCGAGCCCGGACAATCATCCTCCAGCTGCATCCGGGCCCTCAGTCATGAAACTGCAGCGCTTTGCGTGCTGTGATAATGGAGACTGTCGTGACATCACAATGAACCTGTAACCTGACCTCACCTTTTGAACAGTTCGCTAGCCAGCCCCATTCATTGCAATTTTCATGCCAAGGCACGCACAGCGAGATTCTAAACTCTGCGGCATCTTGTTTTTGAACTCGTTCATGGCATTCTGGATCTTCTCCGGATAGTCCTTTGTGATGTTTGCGAATGTGTTGCGGCCGCGCCGGATGATCACAGCGTGGTTCAAACTCGCAACCTCATTGTTGGTCTTCTGAACGACATTCATCGGTCGCAGGACACAGAGTTGCTTGAACGACTGCAGGACAGGAGGATCTGAGGAGCCAATGCACTTGGCAAAGTTCGTGCGACCCAGCCTCAGGACGCGAAAACAAAATAGGTCAGAGTCAGAGTCAGAGTCAAAAAACTATCAAATTGTCATTGTCGTTGAGTTGTCAATATCATTCAATTATCAGTGACATCAGTGACAGCGTCCAGTCCAGTCCAGATCATAAAGCCATAAACTGTTTGTTTTCAAGGTGTGGGGTCAGGTCTGTTCCAGTTGGGTAAAGCCTGTAATTTCAGCATGTATAAGAACATGATGAAGCAAAACAATTCACCTGATTAAGTCTGTTTGTGTGACTGTGACTACCTTTGTGTTGTATTTTCGACGGACCTGAGTTTTGTCAAAATGTCAACTGCTGGCAATGCGACCTAGTCACAGGCCACCAGAAGCACCTTTGCCAGCTCCAACATTCTCCAATTCCTTTCGTTTCGCTTCAAAGACTTCTCTCGCTCTCTTCACAGCCTTGGACATGCCCTCAATGTCTTTCACGGTTTTCCGCATTGAGGAAGCCACCAACTTGCTCGCTGCTGCCTTTTCTGTTAGTTCCTGTGCCGTGCCAGCAGTATAGCGTCACTGGTCTAGGAGTCTAGGATCTATGGCTGGTCTTCAAGGATTTGATTTGATTCAAATTATGAAAAAACATGGTTCAGTAGTTCAGTTAAGTTCAGTTCAGTTACAGTAGTTTAAAGTTTAAAGTAGTTTATCTTCGGTCTCCAGCACAATCAATCACTCTGCAAATTTTGTTCTCTAAAACAAGTCCGCAGTCACAGTCACACTAACAAATTTCAGGGCTACTGCAACTGCCGCCCGCCGGCAGGCCAGTTCATACTGATTTCTATCTTCAAACAAATCGAATCACCAGCTGGCCGCCCGCTGGCCGCCGGCCTTCAACTTCTTGTCTATACCTTCTTTGGACTCCAAATCATCGAAATGATCTTTCCGCCTGAGAGACAGAGTTAGTTCGATAATATTGGAACTATTTAAATATGATGGTAACTGTTCACCTGACCTGACCGCACCCTCTCTGACAATGACAAACAGCGAACAACATTTCACACCACGGACCATTGACCACAAAGCCCAGTTAAGCCAACAGTCTGTGGCGTTTGTGGCATCTTTACAATTGGAAATTGGAAAATTTGAAACGTAGTGGACGGTGGACGGTGGACGTGGACGTGGACTTGGACTCCGACCGACATGGAATTCATTTACTCCGAAAACTATCAAAATTGGATGCCCCCCCCCCCGCCAGCCAGCCCAGCGAGTAAAGCATCAAAAGTATACACAGCTGAGGAACTGCAGTTCCAACAGAAGGCAAGCGCCCTTCGCATTTTCTGACAGGTAGCCATCATCCTTCATGAGAGCGGCAAGATCTGCCTCAATCTCAGTCTTCCTGCTGTCAGTGACCAAGTGATCCTGAGCAGCAGTACAGTAGCTAGCAATGACGAGTTAAAACTGAAGTCAAAGTCGAGCGAAGGGTGCTGCTGCACTGCTGCTAAGTCCAGTCAGTTTGTCAACATGTACAGGGACCGGGGACCCCTGAAGACCTGAAGAGCTACTTACATGTCACTGTCACCGGGCACTGTCACCGTGCTAACTTCCTCCATCAGTATTAGTATTATATAGTAGTTTCCTGTGTAACTCAGCCACTGAGTGAGCCAGCCAAGAATCCATATTGGTCTCCAAAATCTGGACTGCGGACATGCGCCGATGGAAAGAGTACATCACCTTGATGCAGCCAGCGTTGTCATCCAGGCCAAGAATAGTGGCATCTGGAATGATTCGGTTCTCTGCCACACCATCACGTGACAGCTTCGTAAACACATCGTGCAACTCCTGCCAGTAGCAACTAGCAACCAGCGGCGGCTTGTGAGTTGTTAGTCAGGACACTGACTAGGCGACTCTTCGGACTAATGTTATCAAATCACACCCCCAACTCAACTCAACTGGCCCTTACAAATAGAGAAAACTCCAAGAGTCCTTGTGATCTTCGATAAACTTGTTGCCCTTGGTGATTGCATCTGTCAACGTCGCATGCACAAACTTGACCTGGTTCACCAAAGCGCAAAGTGCCTTGGTTTTCACCACTGCAATATCTTGTGGTTTTTTGTCCTGAGCCAGGAGATGAGGGATGTGATAACAACTCCCGGCTCCCAGGCTCCCAGCCCAGCCTTGTTGAAATTTGATTAAAATTGGTTTGAAATTTGACTGAATCATGTAATCATGACATGTTGAATCAGATCGGTCACCATGGCATGTCACCAAGCCCAATATGAGCTCGGCCCCAGCCCAGCCCCTACCCAGCCTTGGGTTTGGTGTTCTTATTCTTGTTCCTCCTGTTCCTGGCAGCAGCTGACTCCCCCGCACCGCTTCCAGAAACGAAATGAGAGCGATCATCATCAAAGCCAGCAAGAAAGGACTTGAAGAAGTCATCGGTGTCACCTGTGCACGGCTCGCAGGCAGTCAATGGTTTGATGTCATTGCTGCACGTCACGCCACGTCAAGTAAAATTCTAAAACGGCTGTGTGGCCCTGGCATCATAAAGTCCCAAATGATAGCTGTGATAGTGACAGTGATAGTTAGTGATAGTCTTGAAAATAGAAAAACTATTGAACCGGCTGCCGGCTCTGCGGCTCTACCCTACCCTAGCCCTGCGGTATACCAATCAATCTTCAACTTGTCTAGTGGATGTGGACCATGGCAGCAGCACCGTGACAATTTTCCAAAAGTGGTATGAGTTATGAGTACAGTGGTAGCAATCCATAAGGTGGGTTTCTGGTACGCTTCACGCTTCAGTTCTATAAGTCCTACATCCTGGTTGGGTCATTGGGTCCTACTCAACATCAACAGGATGTGTTTAGACATTTTCATCGTCTACCCAAGACATGCTGCTGCAGGAACCATACTGCAAATAGTCCTAATCCTCCAACCTTTGTTACCTCCTGCTCCTTGCTTTGGCCTTCAACGGCAGGACAGCTGTTAAGGATTCAGGATCGACTCAAAACAGGACATGCTGCAGGAGGCAAGCTGCCAATCCTCATGGTTTCCTGAGTTTCCTGCTAATCCTCCTACTTCATTCGCTTCATTGTGCTCCCGGCGTTCAATCGGACGCGTGTTATGCGTGTGGCCGCTAACCTTCCTCATCATCCTCATCCTCATCCGGATTGCGAAAGCGTGTCAAAGACAAGTGAATTCGATCGGCGGATGATTTCCAGATCATGTAGGCCCAAAGTCCCAAAACGCTCTCCGCCGAGCGCAGTCAGTCATCATTGTTGTCCAGTCCAGTACCAGAAGCAGTAGCAGCAGCAGGAGCAGCAGTAGCGGTAGGTAGGTAGGTAGGTAGAGGGAGGTAGGTAGGTAGGTAGGTAGGTATAGTAGTAGTAGTAGTAGTAGTAGTAGTAGTAGTAGTAGCAGCACAGGAGTAGTAGTAGTAGTAGTAGTAGTAGTAGTAGCAGCACAGGAGTAGTAGTAGTAGTAGTAGTAGTAGTAGTAGCAGCACAGGAGTAGTAGTAGTAGTAGTAGTAGTAGTAGTAGCAGCACAGGAGTAGTAGTAGTAGTAGTAGTAGTAGTAGTAGTCGTAGTAGTAGTAGTAGCAGTGGTGGTGGTGGTGATGGTGGTCCGGGCCCGTGGTGCAAGTGGGTTCAAGTGGGGTTCTACCGGTCTACCACGGCCTCTCCGTCCGTCCTCCCTTGTTTTAATCCTTGTAGATTTCACAGAAACCCTCATTAGCCTATGATCCTGATGCCACAAACTGTCCCTGCCCGGTCCCGAGTCCTGGTCCCCCGTTTCGATTTCGATCGTTCTGGAAACCGGCGTCAGCGCCAGCGCCGCGCTTCTCAAAGAATACCAACTATATCACAACCAATCACAACAACTGTTATGGACTTCCTTTCATACTGAACTGGCCTGTGAAAGAGACAAAATTTGCCATCCTTGCTTGCGCAGCCATGGCAGCTCCCTCTGATCCATTTGCTGTCGAGTGAACGCGTGCTACAATTCGGACATCCTCCTCCTCCTTCTTCTTATACCGCTTTGCACCAACGGTCACCCACACATGATCTCGAGATTCCCATGCCCCAGTCTTGCGGCAGAAGATGTCCCGCTTCTCAAAGTCACCAGACTGCATGTCCCTCACCCAGCTAGCTCTGCATTCCGCCACGCTCATTCGATCTTGCTCGCAAATTTCCTCAGTGTGGTACTTGAGGTAGCGAGACCACTGCATGGCTTCCTGATCCTCCCGGATGCCTCGCACCTTGCGAGCCATTTGGGACTCCATGTACTGGGTAAGATTGAACTTGCTGTATTTCTGCCCAGGCCCAGGCTCAGCAGCTGCAAGGACTTTTCCATATTCCTCAGGATCATTTTCCTTCAAATCGTTCAGCCACTGGATCATAGATGCATCGTCACTCTTGGCAACAAGCCCACGATGTTTGGGTGAACATTTTCCACAAAGGTGTTTCACCTGACAGTGACATGAACAATATGAATCTGAACCGTCTGAACCTTTGGCTGAGCAACCAGCAACAACGCCTACATCGTACGGCGTACGGTGCACTTAAACCAATCACCAACCAACTTGTCAACAAGTTCAGATTCCAACCTTGTTCACAGACTTTTCCTTCTTCCCATCATCTGTCACTGCGGCGCTTTCGTTTGTCAAGGGCAGTTTGCAGCCATGGCATTTGCCGTCGTATGCTGCGCAAAGCCCTTTCCTGGACAAACCGGCTGGAACTGGAACGACAGCTCCCTCTGCCATCGCGTTTGCGCCAGTGCCCCACACTAAAGCACGGAAGAACAGCGTTCAACAGAGCGCACCCAACTCAGCGCTGGCTAGGCTAGGGCGGCTAAAACAGGTTTAAATAATTTGAGCAGTAAAAACGAACGAGTTCCATTCAGTAGTTCAGTAGTCCCAGGGATTCTAGTGGGTCCGGTCCAGTCCAGGTCCAGGATGAGTACGACGTGGTAACTGGTATGTATATTTATGTATTGTATACATTGTACAGTGCTGTGTTCTTCTCAGCTGAATTGATTGCTTTAGAGAAGCCACCAATGGTGTGAAGGTAGTTGCACAAAGCGGCACGGCGCGGCGCAAACAAACAAAAACATATTTTCACTCACTGACTCAAGTCAGTAGACTTCAGTACAGCCCAGCCAGCCACCCTAGCAAAATTTGGGCCAGTTGTTTGGCTTGCATGTCCAGGAGAAACTGGCTGGGCACGGGCATAGCGAAGATCCCTGTTTGGTGAACTCACCAGGGCTTGTGCATTGTGACTCGAACGGCGCAACTTTATCAAAACAAAACACATTGAACTGCTGCAAGACCTGACAGGATGTATATATAAATATAAAATGTTAGTTGAAGTTTGAACATTACATGTTGGACATTTGAGCATCAGTCATGGGCCGGTTCCGAGTCAGACAGGCAGGTGTCTAAGTCTCCTTTGTCTTGAGGTCTCAGTTTCATCAACAAAAAGGCTTGCCAGGCAACGAAACACGCTTGG